CGCGGCTGCAGGCCATAGGTGGCCTTGGTGCCCTTCAGCATCTCACCTTCGGGTTTGGGGTTTTGGGTTTAGGGTTTAGGGTTTGGGGTTTAGGGTTTAGGGTTTAGGGTTTGGGGTTTAGGGTTTGGGGTTTAGGGTTTGGGGTTTGGGGCTTGGGGTTTGGGGTTTGGGGTCTGGGGTTTGGGGTTTGGGGTTTGGGGTTCAGGGTTTGGGGTTTGGGGTTTGGGGTTTTGGGGTTTGGGGTTTAGGGTTTGGGGTGTAGGGTTTAGGGTTAGGGGTTTAGGGGTTAGGGGTTTGGGGTTTATGGTTTAGGGTTTAGGGTTTGGGGATTTGGGTTTGGGGGTTTGGGGTTTGGGGTTTGGGGTTTAGAGGTTAGGGGTTTGGGGATTTAGGGGTTTAGGGGTTTAGCCTTTTGGTGGCTCCGAGGAGGGTTATAAGGCTTTCGTGTCCGGGGGTGTTTGGCGTAGGGTTCAGTCCTTTAGGGTTGAGATGCGAAGGCTCCTCAGGAAAAAAAACGAGCTCCCCTAAACCTTATAAGCCCTAAACCCCAACACCTGAACCCTAAACCCTAAACCCTAAAACCTGAACCCTTAGCCGCGAAGCCGGGGGAAGAGGATTGTGGCACTGCTGTCTGAGGGACCTCGTGGTCCTCATTCGTACAGTAATACTACGAATCCCAGACCCAAAAAGCTCAAAGGCTGTGTCGTCAAAAAGGGCACTTTTCGAAATTATGGTCCCCCCTGTTTTGGGGCCCCTAATTCCAGCGCCAAGGCCATCTGTTTGAGAAATGTCCGAAACCCCAAGGCTTATATAACAAACCGACTGAGCTGAATTCTCTGATTTCGGTCACAAGCTCCTTTGGTGACTCGCGCGGTCTCTGCACAGGCGCCCCGACGTCACACACGGCCTCTACCACCACCCTCACGAACAGGCCTACGAGTTTAGGGTTTAGCGTTTAGGGCTCGTATATGGGCCCTGGGTTTTGAAGGGGTTTTTGGCTTGAAATAAGGATTTCTAGGGTTCAGATGCCCTTCAGAACCTCCTCTCCTCTCCACCCCCCCCCCCCGCCCGGGGTCTAGGGTATAGGGCCCACAGAAGCCAGCACGACTGAATGATGATAAGCCTAGCCCATGTTTCTTGAAGATCCTGCAGTAAGAAGAACTTTCCGCAGCTAAGGGGATTTGCGAGCCCTACAACCCTAAAACCTAAACCCTTAAACCCTTAAACCCTGAAACCCTTAAACCCTGAAACCCTTCAACCCTTACACCCTTAAACCCTTCAACCCTTCCACCCTTCCACCCTTAAACCCTTACACCCTCAGCCGGACGACGCCGAAGCTCGCGGGGCTGAGTCTTTCAGCACCCGCCGCCGAGGGCCCGGTTGGCACTTCGGCAGGCTTCGTGGCTAGGTCAGGGCCATTCAGGGGTTTAGGGTTTAGGGTTTAGGGTTTAGGGTTTAGGGTTTAGGGTTTAGGGTTTAGGGTTTAGGACTTAGGGTTTAGGGTTTATAGGGCTATGTTAGGTTTCTGTTGGGGTTAGTACAGGTTATCTTAAGGTTAGTATAGGGTTTAAGGTTCAGGATCTGTGAGTGTAGTGTGCTGGGATTAGGGCTCGGGGGTTTTAGGCTTCAGGGTGTTTGTCTGGGTTGGCAAAGTAGAGTCTAGAGGGTCAAAGCAAATGCAGGCAGCCCGACTACCCATCATACACATGGCCCGGTTTGTGGAGGTTTGGGGTTTAGGCTTCCTAAACCCTAAACCCTAAACCCTAAACCCTAAACCCTAAACCCTAAAGGGTTCCTAGCTTAGACTTTGGGGTTTAATCTTGCCGGAGCTCCCGAAGAATACCCCTACCGTCGTGAAACCCAGAGTCGAGGGCTCAAGTTACCAACCCTAAACCCTCAACCCCTAAACCCTAGAGCGCAAACCGAGAAGCCTAAACCCTAAACCCTATAGGCTCTAAAAGCAAACCTTAGGTGTGGTACTTTGGGAATCCAGGGCTGCAAGCCCCAAACCCTAAACCCTAAACCCTAAACCCCAAACCCCAAACCCTAAACCCTAAACCCTACACCCCCATTGTTGACCCGAATTCAGGTGCCCGTGTGGTGGCCCTCGGGCTGATCCCCCGGCCCAGGGGGGCCGGCGAGCCACAAAGTCACGGCGAAGCGCTTGCGCTGGGTGGGCAGCACCTCGTGAGGCACGTCCTCGGAGCAAGGGGGAGAGAGCGAGAGAGAGAGAGAGAGAGAGAGAGAGAGAGAGAGAGAGAGAGAGAGACAGAGAGTGAGAGAGAGAGAGAGAGAGAGGGAGAGGGAGAGGGAGAGGGAGAGGGAAAGGGAGAGGGAGAGGGAGAGGGAGGGAGAGAGACACAGCGAGAGAGAGAGAGAGAGAGGAGGGAGAGAGGGAGGGAGGGGAAAAAACAAATTGGAGTTCAGGGTTTAGGGATTAAGGCCGTGAGTTCAGGGCTGAGGCGGATTGTCGATGAACTCAGGGCACTTGAGGGACTGAGACGGGTATATATAGGGCCCTCATTCCCTCCTCCCCCTGCTAAGAACCAGGGCGCTTGGGGGGCTTGCAGGGTTTGTGGAATTTAGGGTCGTAAGTTTGTAGAGTTTAGGTTTGTGCTTGGAGGTTCATGGGTAGGTATCAGTAGCGTTAGCGTTACAAGTACCCCAAATAGGGCTGGACAGCCTCACTTGTCACCCTACTTGAAACTACTACCCATGAACCTCCAAGTACACCGAAACCCTAAACCCTAAACCCTAAACCCTAAACCCTAAACCCTAAACCCAGGGATAGTTCCGGCGGGGCACCCGACTTCGGAAGAGAACGAGGCGCCCGGCTTCGGGCGCAATGTCCTCTCGGCCGTGGAGGGTGTGGGAGGCCCCCCACAGAGGGTTTAGGGTTTATAGGGTTTAGGGCTTAGGGCTTAGGGTTTAGGGTTTAGGGTTCCCTATCAGCTCTGAAGCCTCTACAGCCCTATAGAAGCCCTAGAAGCCCCAAGCTCGACACCCGAGAAGAAACCCTGAAGCCTCAACGCCCGACAGCCTCCGCTCCCCTGCACGCTACCGTGGGCGCGATGAGCTCGAAGAGTTGCGCTAAGTTGGATTTTCAGACCTGAAGGCGCCTAAACACCAACACCAGACATCTGAACCCTAAAAAGCCCCGGTCTCAGAGTCGCCGCTCGAGAAGCGAACCATGTACCTTTGAATCCAACCCCAAGTTTCGCAAGGGTGTCGCGACCTTGCAGCGTTTAGGGTGTCTACAGCCCTAAGCCGCCATGAGCCCTGGAACCCCGCCCCTAAACCCTAAACCCTAGACCCTGAGCCCTGAACCCTAAGCCCTGAGCCCTAAACCCTAAACCCTAAACCCTAAACCCTAGACCCGAAACCCTAAACCCTAAACCCTAAACCCTAAACCCTAAGCCCTAAGCCCTAAACCCTAAACCCTAAACCCTAAACCCTAAACCCTAAACCCTAAGCCAAGAGAAGAGAAGGATCGGCACCCTCCTCCTCCACCTCATCTTCCTTCCAGGGCTCCGCGCCCTTCTCCAGCTGGAAGGGGTTCCTTCTTGGGGCGACTCTGCGGATAACTTATCTAAGTCCTAAACCCTAAACCCTAAACTAAACCCTAAACCCTAAACCCTAAACCCTAGACCCTAAACCCTAAACCCTAAACCCTAAACCCTGAATCCTAAACCCTGAATCCTAAACCCTGAATCCTAAACCCTAAACCCTAAACCCCCCAGGCCCAAGACTCCAAAAACAAAAAACTTCGGGCCCCAAAACAGCGGACAAAAAACCTGAAATACATGGGGGGGGTCTTGGGCCGTATCTACCCTAAGCCCTAAACATCCCTAAGCCCTGCAAATCCCTAACAACTGAATACCCCGAAAGAAGGCAGACCCTCCATCGTTCAGTCTGCGGGACTCGGATTTTCGGGCGTAACCCGACAAAGGCCCAGAAAGCCCCAAATTTAGGGTTTAGGGTTTAGGGTCTAGGTTTTAGGGCCTTTTGATGCATTGAACAGAGGCCCCCCAAAACACCCAGAAGTCTCATCTGCCCAGGATCGGTCGCCGCTTGTAGATGCGGAGACACCCTCTCCAGAATTGATTTTCGGCTAAGGGTTTCGGGTGATAAGGGTTTAGGGTCTATGGTGTTTAGGGCTTAGGGTGAGTAGGGTTTATGGTGATTAGTGTTTGCGGTGATTAAGGTTTCGGGTGCTTGTGGTGATTAGGGTTTTGGGTGATTAGGGTCTAGGGTGATTAGGGCTTAGGGTGATTAGGGTTCAGGGCTTCTGAGGGTGACTAGGGTTAGGGGTGTAGGGTTTAGGTGAGTAGGGCTTAGGGTTTCGGCTTGATGGTCGCTTGAGTCAAATTTTCGGGGTTTGAGGGTATTGAGGGCTGTGGACTTACGGCGCTTTGGTGTCGGGTGTTAAGGTTGGACTCTTCAGGCGCCCTGACTGCAGCTCTTACCAGGATGGGCTACGGCGCCCTAACTGCAGCTCTTACCAGGATGGGCTACTATAGGCCTCATCATCCCCATAATGAACCCTATAAAGGGCCTTTTCACGTATTCTAGGCTATCATAGCCCATCCTGGAAGGCGGCTGTCAGGTTTGAAGACGCGGTGTGGTTTGAGGGCTTCGAGGTGTTTGGAGGCCGTGGAGGCCGAAAAAAGGCTTTGCCACAGGCTGGAGCTTAAGCTTTAAACTCTAAACTCTAAACCCTAAACCCTAAACCCTAAACCCTTGGCCTGCGCAAGAAAGACCAAAGGGTCCATGCATGCGGTTCAAGAGGGTTCTCGGGTTTGTAAGGGCTTGTAGGGTTTAGTTCTTGTAGGGGATACTTGTGCCTACAGGTACTTGCTGTTCAGTCCTGTTTTTGGGGAGTAAGTAGCTGCTGTACGGCGTTTTCCGGAAATCGGGAGCCTAAACCTTAAACCCTAAACCCTACACCCTACACCCTAAACCCTGAATGCTAAACCCTAAACCCTTACTCCGGCCCCCTCCTCCGTCGCTCTGGGACCAGTCCTTGTTCGCGTAGAAGAGGGCCTTGGGCAGTTCTTAGAAGGCTTAAGGAGGTCTTTAGTTTCGGTTTAGGGTTTAGGGTCCAGGGTTTAGGGTTCAGGGTTTAGGGTTGAAAGGTCTTCAGCAGAATATGAGGGTATATCAGGGCATGTAAGCATATAAGCCTTCAACCCTGCAACCATATCACCCCTTGAAAACCCAACAAACCCCACAAACCCTGAACCCGACACCCTAAACCCTTCTTTTCTGCGGCCTAGTGGCGGTCACCTTCCTACCGTTGTTCAAGTTCGACTCATATCCTCCGTCCACGTGCTTCTTGTAGTAGGCGTCCTGCGGCTAGGCCCCGGAGGAACCGAGGCATAAGAAGGATACCCTTTTTGCTGCTTAAAGGTGTTGGCAAGCCTACACCCGAAACCCTAGGCCCACACCCAAACCCTCAACCCTGAACCCTAAACCCTAAACCCTAAAACCCAAACCCTAAACCCCAAACCGAATGAACGAAACGAGAATTCGCTAGCACGCGGTAATATTAAGGTCTCTAGTCATATTCGTCTTCCCAAGAGTAGCCTAGGAATGAAAAAAGGGCTTAGGGTTTAGGGTTTAGGGTTTAGTAACCTAGGAGTAAGAAGGGCACCCTTTCTTGCTTCAAGGGGCTTTTTAAGGGAACCAAAGCCCTACAAAAATGGAATAAGGGCCTACCCCGGTTATAAGTAACCCTACCTCTAACTACCCATGAACCTTCAAACATGGTTAAGAAGAGGCAACTTGGACGGGAAGCTCTGCGCCCTAACCCCCAAACCGCACCAAGCACTAAATCAGGGCTTGCCACTTTCTACATCCGGCTTCTTAAGATAAGTGTAGGCTTTATGGTTTAGGGTTTAGGGTTTAGGCTTAATTAGGGTTTAGGGTTTAGGGTTTAGGGTTTAGGGTTTAGGGTTTAGGGTTTAGGGTTTAGGGCTGAGGGTGGCTTAGAGGCAGCAGACAGGAGCCTTGGGGTAGCAGCCCAAGTGGAATGAGGCAGATGCCTGCAGATACAAGCCTCAGTGACTCAGGTGCGAATGAAGCAAAGCTTCGGGAGTTGAGCACTGGGGGACTGGCACACCTTGACAATAGGATAAGCGGGTTTAGGGTTTAGGGTTTTGGGTTTAGGGGTTGGGGCTAGAAGCAGACCTAGTTTAGAAATGTTTAGAATGAACAAGCCACGGACGAGCACACATCGGAACGCTCAGGTCGTGTCGTACCACTCTAGCTGATGTATTGGGAGCAGCTTCTGACTGACTCTCGCCAAACCCTAAACCCTAAACCCTAAACCCTAAACCTTAAACCCCAAACCCGAAACCCGAAACCCTAAACCCTAAAACCTAGACTCCATCCTTCCCCCAAGGGGCTGCACTTCTTATTGAGCTCGAAGGGGATGGAGATCATCTTCTTGAAGAGCTCCAGAAGACCAGGCTGTTTCTCCCGGTCGAGGCCTTTCTGGGGTGTGAGGCTTCACGGGTTGAGGGTTTCGGTGGGTTTAGGCTTTAGGGTTTAGGGTTTAGGGTTAGTTAGGGTTTAGGGAAGTTTAGGGTTAAAGGTTGAGGGGTTTCAGGGTTTCAGGGACTCCCTTGCTTTCACCAAGTGAGTGCAGTGCCTGGGACGGGCTGGCACTTCAAACAGCCGCCGGTACCGAAAACCCTCCGTCCAGCCTAAACACACATTTGACATCCCACGGCTATCACGGCCGCCTCAAAACATTGCTGTTGTCGAAAGCATGTCCTCAAAATATGTGCCATCATGGAACCGTGCTCAGGTTCGAAACCTAGTTGTCCAGTACACATGGGAAGTAAAGGTTAACCTTTGGGATTATAAGGGATTCAGAAACCCCAAAAAGTCTAATTAAGGATACCTGCTCTACTACTACGTAACCCTGATCGGTTCGGGAAGCTCTGGGCCCGGTGAGAGACTGGTGCTTCGAGCCTCAGGGGGAGTGTTTTAGGGATTTGAGGTTGAGGGGTCGCGGGATCGGGCGTAAGATGCGTCAGGCAGGGCAACTTCAGGGTGTTTGGGGAGTGTAGGCCTTAGGGTTTAGGATACTTAGGGTATCTGGGGAGTGTCGGGTGTTGCCCTAAACCCCTATTTAAGCCCCAAACCCTAAACCCTAAACCCCAAGCCCTAAGCCCTAAGCCCTATGTTCCGAAGGATGAACAGAACCGTGTCCTGCAAAGATGCCTCACGACCAAACTTATCATCCTCGCCACCATTGTCTGTGAGGACTCGATCACCATCCCATGGGTCAGAGTTGTCATCAATGCCCGGACTACGATGACCCCCAGGTTCGAGCCCCTCTCCAATAGTTGGGTTCTTCACTGTGGTAGAGCAACTTGCCAGGGCGATGAACAAGGCAAGGGGCGCGGAGGTAGAATGTGCGACAGCACGTACTACCTCGTTGCAGTTGATCCCGATCTTCCAGAGGCCGAGGAAGCATTCGAGGACCATCTTGATTCAATTGCTCGAGCGTATGCCCTAAACCCCTGAGCCCTAAGCCCTAAGCCCTAGGCCCTAAACTCTAGACCCAAAACCCTTATTTAGCGGCTTCAGGAGGCCTTCGAAGTTGACCCAGCAGATTTTGTCGGTGCGGTATCCGATCATCTTCTGCTGCTGCACCTACGTGCGGGAGCATGGCGAGAGAAGAGCTTGGGGTTGGGGGATTTAGGGTTTAGGGGAGTTAAGGGGCCAGGGTTTCTACTTCGGGTGGAAGGCTTTGTGCTCCAGGGCTAGGGGCTAAGGGCTGGCGAATATGCGGTTGAAGGGGCTTCGTGCGTTACAGATTTGGATGTTCTCCCTCATACCAACAGACCGTAATAGGGAGTATAGTACCCTCTAGTATACTCCTTACTAAGGACTGCCAGTATAAGGGGTAGTATCCCAAAATTGAAACCTCGACCCTAAACCCTAAAATTCCAAACCCCCTCAAACCCTTTGTCACAACTCTAAACCCTGAATCCAAAACACCAGACCCTAGACAAAACCCCCTTCAACTTCAACCTTAAACCCTGAATCCGAAACCACCAAACGGCTCACTCCCTTTCATCCGTCCTACTCTTGGCCTTTGACGCCGCTCGGGCCTTCGAGGGCTTCTTAGAAGCGAAGTTTTCTTTGGACCCTTCTGACCTCAGTTTTGAACCACGTAAAGGAAAACAAAATGACCCAAACATGCCCAAAAGATCAACCTTTCCCTTAAACCCTCAACCCCACGGCACAAAGACAACTACCCGTGGACCTATTTTGCTAGGTCTTTCAAAAACCAAAAACGCGCGCCTGCGTGAGTTTGCCTTCGAAGTCGATCATCTCCAGCTCCTTGTAGACGTCCTCACAGGAGCCAAAGCCAATACTTCCATCCCCTTACAGGGCCCCTGCAGCTCGCAACAGAAGAGAGGGGTTGCCCGAAACCCTAAACCCTAAACCCTAAACCCTAAACCCTAAACCCTAAACCCTAAAGCCTGAAGCCTAAAGCCTACAAAGCCTTAAAGGAGTTTAGGGGGCTAGGCCCGATCCGCGGTCGTCCTCAATGATGCGATCCTCGATGAAGTGGTCCTGGAAGCCCCAAGAAAACCCAATCAGCCCCCATTTAGGGTTTAGGGTTTAGGGTTTAGGGTTTAGGAGACCTAACGCCGAAAGATCCGGGCTGAAGGTCTGCAGTTCCGAGTTGCCCAACACCCGTGTGCTCGCATCATTGAGGATGCATTCTAGCTTCGGGTCCTGTACCCTTAGCTGCATCCTTGTACAAAAGGATCGCTGAGAAAAGGTACCCTTCAAACAGGGACCACGCCCTCCGGTAGCTGCCGACTCGGGGCGAGGTTGATTGCCCGAAGCCCTAACCTCTATGAACCCTCTTGCCCTGAAAAACGAAAGAAAGAACAATGACCGCCAGACCCAAAAAATGAATCTGAAAGAGGCTAACCTCACCGAAGTCCCACAGCTCAAACGACACCCTGACCCACATTCAGAAATACAACAAAACAAACACACTCTACACAAGTCTGATGCCACTTCGGGGATAGTCTGGAAGTCTAAAGCGTGGAAAGCAAAACATCACAAGTACATTGCAACTTAAGGCTCCCGAGGCTCCCCCAGAGTATTTGAAGAACTCAGAGTTTAAGGGTTTAGGGTCAGGGTTTAAGGGGTCGTAGAGATCCCAAGGTCTCTCAGCCAGCAAAGTAAGACTTCCTCAAGGGCCTTGGGGGCTCTTCTTTTGCGGCCATCCCCAAACTCCAAACCCTAAACCCCTAAACCTATATCCTATGACCTAAACCCCCAAACCCCCAAACCCCCAAACCCCCAAACCCCTAAACCTCTAAACCCTAAACCCATAAACCCTAAACCCTAAACCCCAAACCCCTAAAAAGACAGGGCCTGAATTCCATAGCCTTTGGTCATCAGGCCGTTCACGCAGTCGGGAGAGAGACTCTCCAAGTCCCCGGCTGTGTAGCCCTGGCTTTGAGGGGTTTAAGGGTTTAGGGTTTAGGGGTTTGGGGTTTATAGTTTGGTTTTAGGGTTTAGGGTTTGGGGTTTAGGGTTTGGTGTCTGTTTGGGGCTTCTTGCCGATTACAAAACCTGAGCCCCAACATACACTCCTTACAGGGCCGACACTTAACTCAGCACGGAGAACAGCAAACCCGGCCTGGGGAGTTGCCAGGAGACCGGCCTAGGTGCCAGCGGAGGGGGGGGAGCGGGGGAAGGGGGCGGAGGGGGGGAACGGGGGTGGGAGCGAGGGGGTGCAAAGGGGATGACGGTCCTGGATTTTGTTGAAAGAGTAGGATCTTGCTAAAACTTGAAGCCCTAAGCCTCTGAAGGGTCTTGGGCTATGTGAACTCCGCCTATGAAGGCACACTCGCCCTCCCTAGGACTTAAGGTTTCGGGCCTTCAGTCCCTGAACCCTGAACCCTGAACCCTGAACCCTAAACCCAAAACCCAAAACCCAAAACCCTAAACCCTAAACCCTGAACCCTAAACCCTAAACCCTAAACCCTCCTTACCGGGTCTCCTTGCACCCTGAGAGGCGTCGTGGCTGCCCGACGCGTGGGAGGTGGAGTTCGTGGTGTTGATGACTTTGAGGATGTGGCGGATGAGACACTCCTGGCATCATGGGTTCTCAAGTAGGGTTTAGGGTTTAGGGTTTAGGGTTTAGGGTTTAGGGTTTAGGGTTTAGGGATTAGGGTTTAGGGTTTAGGGTTTAGGGTTTAGGGTTTAGGGTTTCGGGTTCCCCTACTACCCCCCTCTATACGATCCCCCCCCCTAGGTTCCCCCCATAATTCAGGTAGTATAGAGGGGTGTAGTAGGGGAACCCATGATGTCCCGGAGTCGAGCATCCCTAAACCCCAAACCTATGAAACCCTAAAAACCCTATAGACCCTAAGCCCTAAGCCAAACAACGCCAATGATTGTAATAAAAACCCTACCCTCATGATCATGTATTAGTAGCTCTGGGACTGAAAGCTCCCTAAACCCTAAACCCTTAACCCTTAACCCTAAAACCTAAACCGTTTAAGGCTAAAGGCGGAAGGCTGCGGGCTACTTGCAGCCGACTTGGAAGTTTGGATTTTTATCTACAAGATGGCCCCAATGTTGGGGTTTTGGTTTTGGGGGTTTAGGGCTTAGAGTTTAGAGTTTAGGGTTCGGGTTTAGGGTTCAGGGTTCAGGGTTCAGGGTTCAAAATTCAGGGTTCAGGGTTCAGGGTTCAGGGTTTAGGGTTTAGGGTTTAGGGCTTAGGGTAAATTGAGTCTGGGGTTCGTGCCGGCGGCCCTATGACAACGATCTTTGTATGGGCTACTCTGCGGGTTTAGGGTGTAGGGTTTTAGGGTTTAATTAGGGTTTAGGGCTCTAGGGTTTAGGGGTTTAGGGTTTTAGGGTGTCTAGGTTTAGGGTTATATATTGGAGCCCTTTTTTTTAATGGGGGGGGGTCCCATTACTGCACAGTTACTTACTCCCTATTCATCCACAATCTACAACACCTCCGCCCCTGTTTCAGATGGTCTACATCAGGGACCAGAACGCAAAACCCAAAACTTTAAACACACGCCACCCTAAACCCTACACCCTAAACCCTAACACACAGATCCCAGCCTTGACGACGTCCCGAAGTATCTGCGGGCTGGTAGCAGCTGTTTGGGGCTCAGGGTTCAGGGTTCAGGGTTCAGGGTTCAGGGTTTAGGGTTTAGGGTTTAGGGTGATAGCTGTTTCGGGTTCAGGGGTTTAAGGGAGTCGAAAGGCTCATGGCACGGGGCTTATGACTAAGGGTTGATAAGGGCCTCGGGTTTAGGGTTTAGGGTTTAGGGTTTAGGGTTCTATGGGGTCTGGTGCTTTTGTGCTTAGTGTTTCGAGAGGGTTAGGACGTTTTCGAACCCTAAACCCTAAACCCTAGAACTGTGGGAGTCTCGCCAGCCTTGGAGTTGTAGGGTCTAGCGTCTCTGTGCCCGTCCGTGGGCTTGGAGCGACACCATTTCCCCTGAGCTCCTCCAGGACCTGCTTGGGATACCAGCCGAGGTCGTTGAACTCGCGGAGGATCTCCATGTCCGACAGCTCTCCTGAGGCTCCGGATGACGACGACGATCCGCCACTCGGCCTGCCGCGAATGCGAGCTGGGATGCTGACAGCCTACTCACGCTTCCTTCCTGGCAAGCGAATTTCCGGGCACTGGCACGCCGCTCGCAAGCCGAGCTCGAAACACGCCACACCAGGAGCTTGTGAGTGGCAGGACCACCCAAGCTGTAAGCCTTACTCGGTCCGCCCAAACCTCGGACACGAAGCAAAGCCTTAAACCCCCAAGCCCCTAAAAAAACCCAAAGCCCAAACCCTACAGAGTAAAAAGAGTGACCCTAAAGTTCACACAGCCCTTGAATGCACACCCTACAAACCCCAGAAGCCTTGAATACAAACCCTGCAAACCCCAAAAGCCCTAAAGAACCTTAAAAACCAAAGAAGCCCTAAAAACCCTAAACCCTAAACCCTAAACCCCCCCCCCCCCCAAAAAAAAAAAAAGAACCTAAACTAAACACCCTAAAAACCCTAAAAACCCTAAAAACCCTAAAAACCCTAAAAACCCTAAAAACCCGAAAAACCCTAAAAACCCTAAAAACCCCAAAAACCCTAAAAACCCTAAAAACCCTAAACCACCCTAAACCCTAAACCTTAAACCACCCTAAACCCTAAACCCTAAACCCTAAACCCTAAACCCTAAACCACCCTAAACCCCGTCTGAGGCTCGCAGGCCTCGATCTCCGACTCCGCGTCCAGGAACTGACCCGCCGCCTCGCCCTGGAGCTTGGGGGGTTTAGGGTTTAGGGTTTAGGGTTTAGGGTTTAGGGTTTGGGGTTTGGGGTTTGGGGTTTAGGGTTGAGGGTTCAGGGTTCCGGGTTCAGGGTTTAGGGTTTAGGGTTTGGGGTTTGGGGTTTGGGGTTCGGGGTTTGGGGTTTGGGGTTTGGGGTTTAGGGTTTAATTTAGGGTTTAGGGTTTAGGGTATAGGGTTTGGGGTTTGCGGTTTGGGGGATTAGGCTGTAGGGTTTGGGGGGTTTAGGGTTTAAGGTTTAGGGTTTAGTGTTTACGGTTTTAGGGTTGGGGTTTAGGGTTGAGGGTTTAGGGATTGGGGTTTGGGGGTTTGGGTTTTAGGGCTTAGAGCTTATACGGGAGAGGAGGCAGGGGTCGAGGGTTTAGGGTGTGGGGGGCGTATGGTTTCTGTGGGTGTCAGGGGCTTCTCGGGCGTAAATGGGGGTCTGGCGTTTAAAAGGTTTACTATGGGGTTGGACCAGGTCCGGAGAGAGCAAAATACCCAAAATCACTAAGCCCTAAACCCCTAACACCTTAAACACTTTCATCGTTTGGGGGTTCGTGTTTAGGGTTTAGGGTTCAACCCCTAACGACCTTGTTGTCGAAATGGAATTGGTACCGAGATAGGGGAAAGAAAATTCTCATGGAGAATGCAAGATCCTGGAAAGGTGTGTTGCGCTCTCTGCCGGTCTGCGAGGGCCGCTTGGGACCAGCAGCTCCAAGTTGCCATGAGCCCTAAACCGTAAACCCTAAACCCTAAACCCTACACCCTACACCCTAAACCCTAAACCCTAAACCCTAAACTTTAAGTCTCTTCTTCCTCAAACTTCAACCTGTCGGCGCGTGCTCCGAGGGACGGCAGGATGCAGAAGGCCGTGCCACCTGGGCATGAGGCCAGCCTGAAGGGTCGCCTTAAACAACCGCCCTTTCCACCCTATTAGGGTTTAGGGTTTAGGATTTAGGGTTTAGGGTTTAGGGTTTAGAGTCCCCTGCCCTCAACCCTGTAAACCCTCCCCGTCCCTGAAGAAAAGCTCTCCACCACCAGCCCTGCAACAAATGGCCGCCTTCCGCTTCACGTTGCCAAAGATCTCGGAGGCCCATTCCTGGGCAGGGCGGGGCTACAGGGTTGTTGGCGCATGTCACCCTAAACCCTAAACCCCAAATCCTAAACCCTAAACCCCAAATCCTAAATCCTAAACCCTAAATCCTGAACCCTAAACCCTAAAACCTAACATGCCCTCAGCCGAAAACCTCCACCCTAGGCCACCTCAGGGGCTAAACCCCCTTAAGCCCCGAACTTCCGGCTACAGCAAAGGCCATTGCAGGCTCCTGGGGATTGTTCTATTTTCCCACCGCCCAATGCCATCCTCCGTTGAACCGTTGGGAGTCGATGCAAATTACTGAGGGCACATGCTGGGCGTCTTCTTCCCTTAGGCTCAAAACCAGCCCAAAACCTTCCCATGATGCCTTTTGGGCACAAAAGTCCTTACATAAGAGCTCTTGGAGCCTTTGGGTTTTGTGACAACTGCATCTTCCTTAGTTTACGGCACCAAGTAAGACCATGATTAGAAACAAAAAAGCTTCAGGTTGATTGGCTTTAGGCTTGCTGGCGTAGGCTTTTTGCGCCGAAGGCCCTGGCAAACTCGACTGCCAGGGTTCCCTTAGGCTCAAAATAGCCCAAAAACCTCATACACTCAGGCCTTTGTGCCCAAAAACCCTTCAATAAGAGTTCTTGGAGCCTTGGGGGTTTTGCCTGTCGTCCTTTGTGTCAAAACGGTCCATCAGCCCTATAAAGCACTAGAAACCCTCAGAGGGGACCCGAGCCAAGTGTCCATGATGGGTCCGGCCATGTCCCTGAGGGCGGCCGGGCGCGTGAAGTCCTGCCAAAATTGGCAGTTTCCGAAATTCGGGGTACCTGATTAGGGTCCTTGTAATGAGGGAATCCTAGTATTTGGGGTCTATTTTCGGGGCCCCCCCTAATTTTCGTAAACCCCCAAAATTGGGCTATGGCGCAGATGCATTGCATCCGAAAATTCCAGAACCCTAAACCCTGGCAAGCCCCAAAACACCTGTCCTGCCAATCCCCCCCCCCCCCTTTCCCCCCTTAATGGCGCCTCGATCAAACGCCAGGCGATGTCCTTCTCTGCCTTCTGAAAGAATGGTCGGAGGTTTGGGGGGGTGTTGAACCCACCGGCTAGCCCTCATTCATGCAGGGTGTATGGGCGGGGGGTTGAAAGTTTACAAGAGATCCTGAGATAAAGACCTGCCTACACTGGCGGATCTTTATGTCGAATAATCGCCCCGTATGCAGGTCCATTGTGCGCTCCCAAGGAACCTGTCCCTGATCGTCGCCCGCGAAATGGTATTGGAAATCAACGGTCAAATGTACCCTAAAGCCTAAACCTCAAACCCTGAACCCCAACAGCTCCAAAAAACAAAGGGAAAATACGAGGAATGCTGCAGGGTCCTTCTAGGGACGACTCTCCCCGACCCAGCCCAACTCCGAACACCAAGGATTAATGAGGGAAGTGCTGATGGGGAATCAGGGGTTTAGAGTTTAGGGTTTAGGGTTTAGGGTTTAGGATTTAGGGTTTAGGGTTTAGGGTTTAGGGTTGCTGAGCATCCCAGAAACTACCAGGCCCCGAGCTCGAAACCACGAAACATGGATTCCATGAACAGCAAGTGAAACCGTTTAGAGTCTATACGGGGCTTTCCGAAAATAGGGCGTGCTTTCCGGGGGGTCCTGATTAAAAAGGGAATCTTACTATTTTTTTTTTGTTTTTTTTTTTGGGGGGGGGGCTGTTGTAGGGGTTCCCTATTTTCGTTAACCCCCAGGCCCATAGAGGGTTTAGGCTTACTCCGACTCGGCCGCCTTCCCGCACCATGCAAAATTCGACAGTGAAGCAGTTTACTTCGCTCGGAGTTGAAGCTTTCGGGTTGGGTGTATATGGGGCTGAGGCCTTGTAGGCTTCGGGTGTTCAGGTCTAGGTTCAGAAACCGAAGCCCTAAACCCAAACCTTAAACCCTAAACCCTAAACCTTAAACCCTAAACCCTAAACCCCAAACCCTAAACCCTAAACCCCAAACCTTTAAACCTTACACCCTAAACCCTAAACAAGGACAACCTTCGGCAACTGTTATGCCCCTATCAGGCATTGGGAACACGCTCCTGCCTCGGGCGTTGGCTCATCTGGCAGGCCACAGCACTTGCCTTGGCTTCGGCTTACCCTAAACCCTAAACCCTAAACCCTAAACCCTAAACCCTAAAACGTTTGATCCTAAGTTCTAAACTCTCATCCCCTGAACTCCGTAAACCCTAAGCCCCTAAGCCTCTGAGCCCGACAACTCCCCAAGCTCTCGACTCGGTTCAGGGTCTAGTAGTTGAGGTGTACAGGCCATAGCCCTGCATGCTGAGCCCTATGAATCATTTTTTAGGGTTTAGGGTTTCGGGTTTAGGGTTTAGGGTTATACTTGGAGGTTCAGGGTACTTATAACCCCAACTATCACTCTACTTCTAAGCCCCCTAAGTCCTCTAAGTAGACTATAAGTAGACTTATAATTGGGGTTATATACGTACCCATGAACCTCCAAGTAGGGTCTATAGGGTTTAGAGCCTTTCGGGCTCAAAGATTCTGACTTCAGTCGTACCCCCCGGGATGCCATCAACCCTACCTAGGCTGGCCCATGAACAGCCTCTGAAAACATTCCGCTACATATTGATCCCTTTTAACCCCAATAAGAGTTTAGGGTTTAGGTTGAATTTGGAGGGCTTCGGGGCGCCAACATCACTAAACTCTAGAGGCTTGTAGAGGTTTTGGGGTCTTGACGGGGCTTAGGGTATCTTAGGGAGCTCGCGGGTTTGTAGGGGTTTAGGGTCTCGGGGTCTTGGGGTTTCGGGTGCTGTCTCATGATTAAGGCCATTTAATGGGGGAACCTAGGGGGAGGTAGTATAGAGGGGGTGTACTAGGGGAACTCTAAACCCTAAACCCTAAACCCTAAACCCTAAACCCTAAACCCTAAACCCCAAGTCCCTGTATAGAGGGGGGGTAGGGGAACCCATGATCTCAGGCTTGTAGGCGCTGAATGCCAGGACACTGCGGAACTCTCGGACGCCAGTACCTGAACATCATGCGATCCCGTTTAGGGTTTAGGGTTTAGGGTTTAGGGTTTAGGGTTTAGGGTTTAGGGTTTAGGGTTTAGGGTTTAGGGTGTATAAGGGTTTAGGGTTTAAACCCCTAAACCCTCAACCCTTGCAAAACCCTCAACCAAACCCTATTCACTGGGATGTTCCCCATTCTACCAATAGCTCCTTCATAGGATTAAAACCACCGATGGACCATCGCGTCCGGCAGGAGATCACTTCACGGCTTTATACAGAAGCGTACTTGCATTATAATAAGGGGTGCTACAATCCCTATAAAGGACTGTTAGTATAAGGGGGAACATCGCAACCTACTGACCCTGAACTCCGAATCCGTAAGCTTCAACCCGAAGCCCCGAAGTCCTAAACCCAAACCCTAAACCCTGTAAGTCTGCAAGGCTGCAGCCTACACCCCTACCAGGATTACTCTGAAAAGAGTAGATGCCAGCAGTTTCCACAAAAGGGTTTAGGGTTTAGGGTTTAGGGCTACTTTGCCCACGAGGCTCGGCAACGGTCGCTCAGACTTCCCCTCAGGATGCTTAGACCCCACTGAACCCTTCGGACTAGGGCCAAACCCTATGCAAAAGCCCTGATACAGCAAACCTGCCAAAAAACAAACCAGCGCCCCCAACCCGTTTTGGCAACGACAGCCGTCGAACAAAAGGGAATATACAGGGTTCCTGAACCCTAAACCCTAAACCCTAAACCCTAAACCGTAAACCCCAAAAACCGAATTGACTGGGCTCATTTGGCCCCCAGGGTTCAGCTCGGCAAGCCAAGCGCCAGAATCCCCGAAATTCGAACTGGCTGGGGCTTAGGGTTTCAAACCCCTCAAACCCTAAACCCTAAAACCTTCTTTCTTTCTGTGTGGTAGTGATTACGTCGTGAACCCGAACACCCTAAACCCCAAACCCCGAAACCCCTAAACCCTGAACCCTGAACCCTAAACCCTGCCTCGAACCCTCGAGCCTTACTCTAAACCCTAAACCCTAAGGCTAAAGTCTAAGCCCTGCATATGGGGACCTCAGACTCAAACTCTCAAAGCAAGATAGGATTTGGGTTTTGGGGTTTAGGGTTTAGGTTTTGGGTTTAGGGTCTAGAGGGTTTTTGGACTGGACTGTAGGACTTAGAGCTTTGTTTGGGGGGATACCCTAAACCCTACACCCTACACACAGCAGGCCACTGCACCCCCTAAAGCCGAACCCCTAAACCCTGAACCCTGAACCCTTAGCCCTAAACCCTAAACCCGACTGATTTGGGAATTAGATCAACGACCCAGATGGCCTGAACGGAGCCGGCGCTCGAGATCGTTCTTCGCACGGCGGTTACGCTCCTGGGCCAGAAAGGGCTTCGGGGTTTAGGGGCTTATAGGGTTTTGGGTTTTAGGGTTTACAGGGCTTAGGGCTTAGGGTTTAAGGGTTTTGGGTTTGGGGTTTAGGGTTTTGGGTTTAAGGGTTTACAGGGCTTAGGGTTTAGGGTTTAGGTTAAAGGGCTTGCCTTGGGCGCTGCTGGCCTACAGCTTCGTGGTCTACACTGGAGTGGCTGGGGGACCTATGAAGATCGAAATGCTAGGGGCGGTGGTATAGAATCACAATTCAACCAATCCTAGAGCAACCCAGTATACCTGACACAAAAGAGCTCGCTGACGCACAGCCCGAAACCCTCAACCATATCCTCCATACAAAACATATATATATATATATATATATACACATATATGTATACATATGTCCTACGTTTAGCTGAGAAGTGGGGTCGAGAGTTTCGGGTTTAGGGCTTCTCGTCCAGCTAGGCTAATATGGCTGAGTGGGTTCAACCGTGACATCGGGATGATTCCCCCTATACCAACAATCCTCCATTAGGAATCATAGTACCCTCCCAATTGTAATCCCTACTAAGGACTGTTAGAAAATCCCTAAACCCTAAACCCTAAACCCTAAACCCTAAACCCTAAACCCTAAACCCTAAACCCTAAACCCTAACGGGGCGAACATCGCCAGGTATCTCCCCGAACCCCCAAAAAAGAACGCAGATCCTCCATCCCAACCTTGACACTTAGTGAGCCCTTCCACCGAGGCGAGGCGTCGTTGAGAATCTCTTCCAAGACTTTGACGGTGGTGTCCAGGGTCTTCTCATCCCACTCCTGCGGGAGGGCTTAGGGTTTAGGGGGTTTATGGGGGTTTAGGGGGTTTATGGGGGTTGAGGGGGTTTAAGGGGGTTAGGGGGATTAGAGGGGGTTTAAGGGGGTTTAGGGAAGGTTTGGGGCTACGTAGGGGGTTTAGGGGGATTAGGGGGGTTTAGGGGGTTTAGGGGGGTTAGTTAGGGGGTTGAGGGGGTTTAGGGGGTTTAGATTTTCGCGGTTGTAGGGGTTTAGGGGTTGGAGGAATACAGGGTTAAAAGGGTTTAGGGCTTAGGGGACGGTTAGGGTTTAGGGTGAACACAGGAAACCTGATCCCTATAAGCCCCGAGCTTTTTGTTCCCATGCGAACCTACCCTAAACCCTAAGCCCTGAACTCGAATCAAGCCCTAAACCCCAAACCCTAAATTTTAAACCCTAGACCCTAAACCCTAAATCCAAAACCCAAAACCCAAAACCTAACACCCAAAACCCAAAACCTAACACCCAAAACCCTAAACCCTAAACCCTAAACCCTAAACCCTAAACCCTAAACCCTAAACCCTAAATGCAAGCTCCTTCTTCCCCTTTGG